GTCCCGCCCTGCCCTTGCTGGTGGGGGGGGGGGGGGGGGCGAGGTCCTGGGGAGTGGCCTCCCAGGGATACAGTGCCCCCGGGGGCCGAGGGGTCAGTTCACCTGGGCAGCGCGGGGCAACAGCAGCCTCTTCTCTGAGTGTCACGCTCTGCAGGGCAGATGGGCAGGGCTGGCAGTGCGTGTGGGCCTATGGGGAGTGGGCTGATGCAGGGGCAGGGCGGCGGCCAGTGTCCAGTGTCTCTGTGCCCTCTGACTGGGCTTGTCTCTGTCTCCCCAGGAGCTGCTGCTCTTCCTGCAGAACCTGCCCACGGCCCTGTGGGGCGACCAGGACATCGGCCTGCTGCTGGCTGAGGCCTACCGCCTCAAGTTTGCCTTCGCGGATGCCCCCAGTCACTACAAGAAGTGAGCTGGGCCACACGCAGCCGCCACGTCCCGAGCTGCACCCCACCAGCTGGCTGGCCGCAACCCCGTTGTGCTGGCCCTCGGCCGAAGGGAGGCTTGCTGGGAGCCCGGCCTTTGGGAGCTGGCCGGGGTCAGCCCAGCATGCCTAAGGCTGCTTCCTAGGATACCAAAGAACGCCAAGGGAGGTCTCAGCTTTGGGGCCAAGATGGGCCTGGCCTCCCTCGCCCTGTCCTGGAGTGTCCTTGCCAAATGACCACCTCCTGGAGCCCCACCCAGGCAGCCCTGGAGGCAGACACTCTCAGAGAGCCAGAGCTGGGGTTCAGGGAGGTGGTGGCCATCTCGTACCTACTTTGAAATGCAAAAGTGCTATTCTGTTGAGAGAATAAAGCGCAGACAAACTAAGGCGTGAGCCGGTGCACTGACCGGGAGCCGTGCGCGGGCCAGTGCTCCTCCGTGGCGTTTCTGTGATGGCCTCACCTCCTGTCTTCCTCCTCAGGTTCGGTTTGGCTGGAAGGCGGCGGCAGGGATCTGATCCCCGGGCCAGGCCGAGCACCGAGAGACTGGGGTGCAGACAGCTGTCACCTTCCTTCCCATTTCTTCTCTTCTATTTTGTTTATGCCATAGGTGGTGCACTTGCCAGAGGGAGATAGAGAGAGGGGGCATGAGAAGTCACCCCGGGGGGATGGCCACGCTGCAGTCCCGCCTCCTCCATTCTCCTCTCAGGATTTTGGGCACGTATACACACACACCCAGTGTGATTTTCAAGCTGCTGGATTAGGACTCAAATAGCAGATGGCCATGTGGGAGTCCAGTGCCTTAACCACAAGCTCACCCTGCCTCCAGCCCTGGATGAGCACCCCTCCACACAGCTCCCCACTCTGCATCATTAGAACGGCCCTCAGCGCCCTGGTTTTTCAGGCTTCCAAGGACCTCACACCTCTCTGGGTACCCCACACTCGAGACTTCGCTTTCTGTAGCCTGTGCTGCCCGCCGCCTGGGTGCAGAGCGGTCCCCGACGCCACTTGGCTCGGCGGTCCAAGGCGTGGGCTGGCCTTGCCAATGCCGGCTCCTGGTCTACGTGACGGAGAGCGGCCATCGCTCTGTGGTTGCAGGCGTGAGCTCCGGGCTCCGGGCTGGAGCTCAGTAGCTGGTGGCTGCTGTCATCTGCCGTCTTGGGTCTTTGCAGCTTGCGGTCTCTGTGTTTGCTCCTTGGGCCCAACCTGAGGTCTTCCCCAGCCTGTGCACGCTGGCCCCAGGCCCTCGTACAGGCCCAGTCTTCAGAGGCACCTGGCCTGTGCACGCACACACCCAACCCTGGCCCCACTCCTGCACCTGAGTGCCAGGTGACCGTGGGCAGCTAGAGCCTGGCCAGGGGGGAGCATGTCCTGGGGAGCAGGAAGCAGGGAGGTCTGGAGATGTGTGTTTTGGAGAGGACTGCCAGGTGGTGGTGCTGTGTGGTGTAACTGATGAGTCTGAAATGGGGAGCCCTCTCCCCACACACATTCAAGTAAAGAGATTCTACACAGGGCTTGGGACCAGCTGCAGAGAGGCCTTGCCTGGAACTGTGCCAAGCCTGGCCTCCAGTGCTGACCACCTGGTGCCGCAGGCCTCCTGGTGGATCTGCCCCAGGGTCGCCGTTCAGTGGGGTTTGTGAGACACAGGCAGCTTAGCCCTGCCTCCCAGCTCCTGCCCCACACTGGTCCTTCCCTCTCTTCTCCAGCCGTTGGCCTCCCTGCCACACTCAGCCCAGGAGTTGGGGCAGAAGGCCCATGATGCGGGGCATCCCATGATGCGGGCAGCCCCTGGCCCCTTGGGAACTGGGCACAGAGCCCCAGCCTGAGTCCATTCCATTGACGAATCAAGGCTCATTGTTCTTTCAAGATAAATAACTATGCCCAGATAAATTCCAGATGAGCGGATTACGCAGAAATAGATGGACGTGTATAATTGGGAGGTGTGAAAGCTTTCTGAGCGTGACACCAGTGGCGATGACACAGCCGTGACCCGTGATAAGTACCCAGTATCACTGAAAGCAAATGGCACTCACACCTCCACGAGGAGGGGAGCAGGCTGGGCATGTGCGTTTGCAACCTCGGCAGCCAGATTTAAACTCCCTAGTTCATAGAGCTCTTAGAGACCAGTGGAAAGGGCCACAGCACCGAGGGTAGGCATTTCACAGAAAGAAGTGAAGCCAGTGACAGACACGGCATTCATACGGCCACAGTTGGAGAGTGGGAAGCGAAGCGGTCCTGAGACTGGCTCTACCCGCACCGCTGTGGCCCGGCTTACTTGTGACCGATTACTTGTTACATGGCATGGAAACGCTTACACTCTTTTAGCCTTTATCGTTTTTATGGAAGACTTGCAATGATTTGCATTGTCATTGACACTTTTCAACTGTGAAGGGTTACTCTGACAGAGACACCGCGTGAACGCGGCACTCGGTGAAGTGTCGCAAAGCAAACACCCCATGGCCACAGTGAGGTCGAGAGAGCTGCTGGGCCGCAACCCTGAATGTCCTGTGTGCTCCCTCCTTTCCAAGCACCACACTGCTCTAAGCCATCACTTAGTTCTGCAGAACGTTTAAACTTACGTGAATGGACTGCTCAGGATCCTTGCTTTCGTAGGCAGACTTGCGCTCCACTTTCCGTCTGTGGGAACACCACGTGGTTGTCGTAGTGTTCATTCTTGTCGGTGACTGTAGTTTTCCATTGTAGGAGAACATGGGAGTGTCCTGGTCCCATTGCTCATGGACGTTGGGTCACTTCCAGCTGGGACTGTAAATAGTGCCGCGCTGACCACCCGCGTGCCAGCCTCCTGGCAGACGCGCCCACAGCGCTGTCGGTGGTCTTCCCCTAGAAGTGGGTGGAAGGGCCCGCTGGAGCACAGCTTAGTCCCCCGCTGACCACCCGCGTGCCAGCCTCCTGGCAGACGCGCCCACAGCGCTGTCAGTTGTCTTCTCCTAGAAGTGGGTGGGAGAGTCCGCTGGAGCACAGCTTAGTGCCGCGCTGACCACCCGCGTGCCAGCCTCCTGGCAGACGCGCCCACAGCGCTGTCGGTGGTCTTCCCCTAGAAGTGGGTGGGAGGGCCCGCTGGAGCGCAGCTTTCCCTTTCACAGGTCATGACAGGTGGTCTCCACAACAGTTTCCCAACTTGCCTCCCACGGCAGGGTGTGAGGTCCCCCTTTCCCCACCTCTTCCCAACGCTCGCTCGGCACGGTCAGTCTTAACCATTCCAGCCGAGATGTTACGTCCTCGCCAACAGCCCTCTCCTGCTCAGAAAGCCGTGGGGGCCTCTCTCAGCTCACGTCGCACGGCAGCATCTCCGGTGCTTCCTTCTTGCTGCAGCCCAAACAGAAGAGGACTCGTGGGCTGTCCTACTGTTTCCTAGACTAGAATCAGAAGCACTTTCTCCTTCCATTAAAATGGTTCAGAAACATTCTCCTGCCTGCGTAGGACCCGGCAGCATGGGTTACCGTAGCTCAGGTGTTCCCTTACTGGATGTCAAGTCGCTTCTGCTTTTCTTACTGCAGAGGGTGCTGTGATAAGCATCAGTATTTCCAAATACGTCCCGTAGGGGGTACTGAGTAGTGGGACTCTTCAGCCGCCATTGCATGAAGCAGCAAAATCAGCACCCCCAACCCACGATGCGTCGCAGTGAGCGGCTGGGAGCTGCTCCCTGGCTGGCGAAGGAGAGGACCCAGCTCTGTAGAACACCGAGAGAGGTTTACTCGGAACCAGCGAGCAGCCCGGCTGAGCGTATTTCAGGGAGCCCGGCACACTCACTGGGGTCTCTGTCCTCAGACAGTTCCCAGGCCAAAACCACAAAGCGAGAGACGTGCCAGCAGTTGTTCGGCCATCACTGCCCGTGGCTATAGGATCCATCAGGCCGGTCAGTTCAAGGCTGGACAGGTGGTCTCTGCAGAGGTGGCCGTCTAGCAAGTGTCGTTGTGCAGGCTGTGGTTCTGGACAGTTCTCTAACATTCCTGTCATCAAGCACACCGGTGTGAGAGAGACCCCTTCTCCATGGCCTTCCTGGCCCAGTTTAGGAAATTATCTAAAATTACTAAGAAATGGAAGGGTCGGTTTCTAAGGGGTAGAAACAGCATGTACCCTCCCAGAAGATGGAAACATGGAGAAAATGAACAGTCAAGAAGGCAAGAAAAAGGACAGGAAAAAGGCAGAGACAAATTACGGTAAGTAGAAAGTTAATTACTAGGGCCTACGTAAGACCAGATATGTAAGTGACCATGATAAACAAGTTAAACTCACCTCCTATTCAGAAAGAGGTACTCACGTTATAGTCCACAAAGCCTAGTGACTCATTCCAAAATCTATTGACTTAAGATACCTAAGATAAAATGTTTGAAGTGAGAAGGTGGAAAAAGTAAATCTGAGGGAAATAGCGAAAGTGGCTGGAGATGCCCGTATTCTTCCAAGTCGTGTTTTAGAAGTTGCCAAGAGCAGTGTGTCCTGCGGTTGAAGGCCCCTCCAGCCCACGACCCAGCAGGAACAGCAGAGAGCATGAAAGGTGAGGGAACAGAAACCTGTCCTGAGGTAACGTGCCGTTTTAACCTCTGTAGAAAATGATGGCCCGGGAGGGGGGATAAAAAGTAAAAGAAGGTGCAATGCAACTAAAAGTTGATTTTTTTTTCTTTTTTAGTTTGCTTTCTGGCACATGTTTGCCAGAGAGACAGAAAGGAAAGTGGAAAGTGAGGAAAACGCCCTTGGGGGGCTGACCACACCTACATCCTCCTCTCGGGACTTGGGGCACGCACACACACCCAGTGTTTCTCAGGCTGACGGGTCCCGGACTCGAACCGCTCAGTTGGCTATGTAGGATTCAGTACCTCAGCCGCCACGCCACTGGCTGGCCCTGAAAGTTGATATTTAGAAAAGACTAATAAGCACAGCTCCAGGGAGACAGGGGTCTCTGCCCCTCAGGTAGCTAGTGCCTCTCTGGCACTCAGAATCGGGGCCTGCCTATAGCAGGGGCAGGGAACGGTATATTGATGGCAAACAAACTCCTGAGGAATACGGTTCAACCATAACAGTGAAAGGGTGGCAAAACTGCAGCCGCGAAGAGATTTAGAACTGCAAGCAGCAGGACAGAAGACGAGCCGCAGCTGGGAGACATGTTTGCGAAGTCCACATCTGCTAAATGACTCCTTTCTCAAATGAGATGCAACTCTCAAAACTCAACTGTAAGACAACGAACAACCCAACGAGAAAGGGATGACAGGTCTGAGCAGACGCCGCGCCACAGATGACATGTAGACAAGTGTCAGAGACGCCCAGCCACACGTGTCACTGGAGGGCACGTGAACGCAAGTAGGTGCGCAGACATGCTCGGCCGCACGTGTCACTGGAGGGTGCGTGAACATTGTGAGATACTGTGACATG